TGTTTACTTGTTATGTGTAGGACTACAGCTAGAAATAAATTAGTCTTTCGCTAACCATGTTTTCATTTCTTGGAAAAGATTAATGTCATTGCACACTGTCCTTTTATAAATCAAATAAACTAAACTAAACTAAAAGTGATTCCAGTGTATTTTAGTGTCATTTTAAGCGTACTCTTTTAATTATTGGGATGATAACGTGAATCTCAACTGTTTTGGCCAGGATAATCATGACATGAAATTTTCCCATCGTCCTTTGCCTACTATCACCATGTATACTCTCTCTCTGTGGCACCTCCCCTGTCCTCTTTCTACCCAGATTATGTGACCATATTAAGGTGTTATCTGGCCAGATTAGATTTGCAGGGAATATGATTTCAGCAGTGTCATTGAAAAAGACACTGAATATGTTCTTGATTTTGTCACTCTTCTTGCCTCCTGTGTCACATGTAATCTGTCCTATTTCCTGTTCTTTTGTTTTAAAATCAACAGTTTAAGTAAAACGTTCAGAAGATGATTTTGCTTTATGGCATATGGCAAGTATCATTATTTTGGGTTGCGTATTTTTATGATGGGGAGTTTAATCAACACAGTGCACAACATGGAGCCCTCTAAAGTGACCCTCTGTATTGTGATGCCACAATGCAAATGTGGAGATATCAATACTTGCTATTGACTGTGGGAGTTAGAAACCAGGACACAGGCTGGATCTCTCTCAGTGTCACATGGCTCTCTGTCTCAAGCCCATATTTTCTACATCTCTTTCATATTAAACCCAATTATTGTATAAACTTCACCCCACAAGGCAGATTTTAATAATGTTTAATATGCACAAATGGGCTACTGCGATAGCTATCTTGGCCGTGCTTATCAAACAAACGCCCAGAGACATTTTACTGATAGTCTATCTGATCAATACAGTTCTAGTGAAGTGCTGATCTGGTGGCATCATTCATACGACGCAGCAGCTGATGGTTGCAGGCAGTGCCAGAGTAGAAGCAGTAATGGATGTTACATCATAACTTAATATTAGGTGACATTTCCCTGATGATGTTGCTTAATATTTCAAACACATGCACGTTAAGTTATCTTTAAAAAGTTTAAAGTTCAAAGGACCACAATGGTTGTTCTGCATATTTAATCTCATTTACTTAGAACTGCATACAGATTTGGACAGTTTTACCACTTCAGTCAGCCACTGGTTTCAGATTAATGTAGAATAGGAGCTGATTTAAGATAAGTAATCCACTACTTTTAATTTAAGTGTTTTGTTCAAGTGTGTTGGTAAGCAGTCTTAATTATTAGGGTCGAGAAAAAATCAGTACAGTATAGTGTTGCAATACTTTGCATGGCAATATTGTATTGATACTAAAATGCCAAGTATCAATATTTTATCATATAAATTATAAATGTTGCAAATACAAATTAAGCTTTTGGTAGCCTACTACGATAAAACAAAGTCAGTTACCTTTTCAGTCCACAAGATACACATTACTGCAATAAAAATGATTGAAGCAATATTAACAGACTAAAACTCTGTCTTTTAGATAAAAACAGATGCTGACAAAGTTTTTCTTTAATTTGCATTTGAAGAAAGGTAATGTATCGCAATTTATGTAATTGCAAAACTCAGCATATCGCAAAACATTTAAAATCGCAATAATATTGTATAATGACCAAAGTATTGTCATAATATCGTACCGGGGACCTCCGGTGAATCCCACCCCTATTAATTATAATTATTTCAAAACTATAGATGAATTGGAAAAGTATATGAAGACACAAAGACCATTAACATTTTGAATACAATGTCCAAGTTACATCTGTGTCTCATGTTTGGTTACAGTTGATTAGTTAGTTAACTTCACATGCAAAATAACCACTGATATATGAGTTACTCACCCATGTTACACTGAATTTGTGAAGAAAACTTTTTTTGCCTTCATAGTGCAAGAGGAATCCAGAAATGGTATAAAGTCTTGGTGAACGGAAACACATTCAATAGAAGCGAAACTACATTAAAACATCTGTTTACAAACTCACACAACTCCTGCAGTATAATCCAAGTCTCATATATCCAGTCGTACACTCAGTGCTTCCCAAACACATGCAATTTCACTAAAACTGTAATATTTAAAACACTTCTTCATAAAAAAGTCTCACTCACCAACTAGTAGCGTGCCTGGACAAGCACATGTGTTGGAACTGTGGTCAATAAAATGCTGAGCAGAGTTCAAATGCACACATCCAGGCGTGTGAAAATACATGTTTGGTAAGTACTGCGCATACAACTGGATAAATGAGACTTCAATTATAAAGCACGAGTGGTGAGAGAATATACGAACAGATGTTTTAATGCAGTTTTTCATCACTAATTTTCTTAGTTTTTGGATTCTTTGTTTACCATGGAGGCATGCAAGAAAATCAAAGTTTTTCCTCACGAATTAACATAGCACAGGGCGAGTAACTGACATATAAATAGACTTTTTGTGGGTGAAATATTCCTTTAAATACTGTGAGCTCTGAGCTAGACAATCCTTTGGAATTCGCTGATGAACAAAACACACACACACACACACACACACACACACACACACACACACACACAGTGAAAACATCTGACAATAAGCACAAGTGTGGAGTCATCTTGGCACCGGGCCTTATTCCATCTAATTGAAACTTTTCCGCTGCCGTCCCTCCATCAGCTGTGTGCGGTGATCGAGGTCATTGTGTGATGACGACCAAATGTTAATCTGGGGAGTTAAGATGGTGCAGGTTGCAATGTGCTGGGTATAACGCTGCACAACTCTTTTCTAATTAAGAAAATACTCAGAACAGGGAGAGATATGCAATCAAGAATAATTTGATTATCTAAATTAGACCCATGTTTATTACATCTTACAGCTTTCTCCTTACACCTCAACTATCATTTGTTTTAGAAATATTTGCATTCAGTTATCCTGCCTCCACTAAGTAAATAAATGCATTGTCACAAAGGATTTTTGCCCAGTTGTTATCTTATAGAAATACCTTCTAAGAAAGACAGTGTCAACATTGTGCATGACCACAGAGCTCCACTCTCACCTTGCATTAACAACAATTTCTCTAAGGTTGCATTTTATTACTTAACTGTAACAGCTGTATTAGAGTATACTAAGGAGTTTTCTATTTTTCTAGTTAGTCAGTATTAACTACCAGGAATAAAAAGAATCCATATTCATGGTGTCCCTTGCTACTGCAAGCTGGCCAGTCCCCAGAGATCTCGCCACACCACTGCACAAGTCCACAACATATCATGACTGCATCAGTTGCTTTCACCCAAACTGCCTAAGAATAGTACAACTGATGCTATTTCCAGATACTTCCTTTTGAAATGAAGCACAAACAAGGCATGTAAACAACAGAGTATACTGTGGTGTTAGCATCACATGTACTGTACACTGACCATGATAACAAAAGTACCACAACGCAGGTGATTCCACACATAATAACACGTAAATAGCAAAAAATGCCAAATGTAGAAATCACAGCAGTTACTATAAAAACATCTGGAGAACAAGGAAACACCCATGCTGCACTCAAACTGCAATATATTGTATCACAAAAGGACATACTATACAACACTGTCATTATTTACCCCACCTCTTTTCAAAATCTTAAATTAAACTGGCTTGACTGAAAAATTAAAAAAGAAGTACAGCTCTTTGCACTGAGCAATACCTTAATATGTTTAAGTCTTCTTCTGGAGTAAAAAAGACTAACCAGACTAAAACAAAGACTAAAGGGGCATGATGTTTGAGGGAAGTATGCGTTTACCAAGCAGGGAGGGTCTTCCAAAATATGCTGTCGAGTCATATTATGGGAGGTGTAGGATCCAGGATTTTTTGGGTCTTGACCCATGCTAGGGACCAAAAGCATCTTGGCCGCTGGTTCACTGATTCTGGCCTTGTTATTATTACTATTTATATTTGTCACTGCCATGTTCCCGAAGAAATGGAAGTGCAACACTGAATTTCTGAGTAACATCATTAGCTTTAACATTTATTTGCCAACTGCCTTGAATGCCATGCACTGGGGAAATAACTTACTCTGAGTAATCTCAAAATTATCAACATAAAAACTAGTCTATTGAGTTGACTGAGGCTCGACTGACAAATCTCAGGTCTCACAAAATGGAACCATGAGCACCTTTAATAAGAGAATCAGCCTGAGAAACTGCTGTCATCTTATAATCCTGTACTTTGGTGCGACCTCTTTACCCCATGTGCCTCCCTGAAAAACCTTCAGCAATGTCTTGCCACCTTATTTAAGCTTGTCTGTGTGAACTTTACTGCACATTTTGCAAAGCATCCTTTCAAAATCTAGACACAAGTGCACTGTTTCCAAGCAGTTTGTGTCTGTTTGTCAGAAGCACTTTCTCAGTAAACCTATTTCAAAATACAGCTGTGTTTTCTATCAGTTCACGACTCACAAAACCAAAAAAGGATTAAAGCCTAAATCGTGAGGGCTCTCTGGCCACCTCATCTGCTCAGTGCTCCCTCTGTCACTGCTTCAGTGTTCACTGTCCCCCTAACAGTGACATCTTTGTATTTGTTCTCCATCCTCTACAGTACAACACATATTATAATAGAAACTGCCAGAAGTTAATGCAATACTTTAACTTTCCTAATAAAATGGCTTTAAAACAAACTTATTTCCAAGTCTTATTTAAGGCCAGTAGCTTCTCTACAACCCGAAATTCATTAATACCAGTAGGGATTTCAGCAATGTCACTGATGTGAAATATTTAAAATTGCATCACCTCTGTCTGATGCTTTGAAGATTAACTAAATTAAACGTTGAAACGCAGCAGTTCACCTGCTTTAAATTCCACTGTAAGTTCACAGGTTGCTTTCAGGCGACATAACTGCCACACGACATCGATAAAATAATCATACAATATCACTTTAGAAACGTTAGCAGTGTTTTGACAACTTCCTGCGCAGTTAAATTCAGTCACTTACCGGCTGTTGACATTCTCCTCCCGTTAATTCACGACGTCAGTTTAACGTTCAGCTCCTTCGTTAACTGAATGTAACGGTCGGTTAATTCAAAATAAGAGAAGTGATTCTGAGCACTGCGCGAGCTCTCCCTTCACTGGCGGTCCCGTTAACTGTCCGCGAGCCCTCAGGTGGTGGATGCGCGCGCTCACGTTGCGAAGCCGTCTGTCCCCAATCAAAGACTCCCACGCGCCTCTCTGGACTGCCAGAGTGACCTTGTCACAACATCCTGTCTGATTAATCGATGTTAAATTACAGTTTAGACGTGCGATACACATGGATTATTGATCCTGGATCACTCGTTTAGTTCAATTTAAATTAAAAATAAATAACTAATAAATAAACAGAAAAGATTTAGATGTATCAAAAATGACCATAGTGACTGAATTTAACTGCGCAGGAAGTTGTCAAAACACCGTTTCTGATCTATAAATTGATTTTGTATCATTATTTTATCAATTCGTGGCAGTTGTGTTGTTTTCTCTGTTAAAGATACAAACAGGAACTCAGTACCCAGTGAGATAAGACAGTGCAACAGCTTTGTTGGTTTTAAATTTGAGATGAACTCATGGCTAAAGTCAACCCAATCATGTCCACATCACACATGAACTCAAACACTTGATCTAACATTATGAAATCTTGTTATATCTTACTGTTGTAGCTGTATTTCTGTTGCTGTCTTTGCGATTAGTTGATGCTGTGTTGTCTTGCTATTGTTATTGCTGAAGCCATTGTGTCATAATTATGTTCCATTTTATAATCGTGTTTTTTTATATATAGCCTCTAAGAGTGTCTTTTAGCAGAGTAATTATTCTCTGTTTCCTGCCCAGGGACTACAGATGAAATGAGTTTATAGCAAACTCTAATTTAATTTTTAATTTAATTTTTTGAAATTTAATTTTATATTCAACCTCACCCTAACCCTAACCCTTTATATATTCAATCCCATTTATCAAAATTCAATTAGTGCAGCTAAGAAGCTGTGCAATGTCCCTGTTAAATAAATAAAATAAAATACTAGCTAATGAGCTAAGTACTAGGCTATGTTTTAATCTGAAAAAGAAAAGAAAATAACTTTAAATATTATTATTATCTTAAATTATATAATTGCTCCCTTATAGATGCTTACTTTTATATACTTGTGAGCAAATCAAAAAATACCTATAAAAAATACTTTCATTAAACTCTTATGTGTGTTGTGCATTTTTAAATGTCAGGCTACAGTTCTGATAGACTGTAACACCAATGATTAAATAAAAAGGTTGGATATGACTGGCAGAAAACCACTACAAAGAAAAATGATTTCATTTGGATTATAAATTATAAATACTGGTGTTAATATTTCATAAAGAGTTTAATGTCTTTCTGTCCGTGTGTGTGTGTATGTGTGTGTGTGTGTGTCAGAGAGAGCCACTGTGAGCCTTATCCAACATAATATGGCCAATAAATGCCAATAAAACTAATCTAAATGTAAATTCGGAGGCCAGACAGACAGAAATAGAGAAAGATAAATTGACAAAGTAACCAGAGACAATGCAGCCAGACTACTGAGTGTGTGTGTGTGTGTGTGTTTGAGAAAGAGCGACAGTGTGTGTTTACTAATACTTAATCTGATTTAATCTCAGTCACAGCGCCCAAGAAGTGACCTATGATGTCATGAGCTTTGTCATTCTATGGAAATAAGGATCAGATTGGAGATGGCCGAGGGCACCGAGTGTCACAGTGCAGCAGCCACAACAATCAGCTGCTTTCAACGACATGTAAACATTCAGATATCAAACCCCCCCCCCGTGCATGTATGAAACACGAGTGGATAATCTTGATCTGCACCCTCTGTCGTTTTAAATTGCATAAGTGTTTGTGTAAAAACTCTAATTGTAATTGACCCATGGAAAACTGTCCGGGAGGAGGGGGCAGAGACACAGAGTGACGTGGGGAAACATGATGATGTCACACTTTGTGAATGAAGAGAAAGACATGAGGATTAGAAAGAACCAGCCGAATGTTATTAATGAAGAGGAGAAATGATACAAAAACAATCACTCCATGCTCCCCTCTGTTTGAGCTGTATATGACCCATTTTTTATATTTAATTTCTAAAATGATGTAGTTCAGATTACACGTATATAAAGTGAGCTTCTCATCTAGAGCAGGAGCTGATGGTGGATAGCATGACACCTAAGTGAGAGGCTGCCAAGCTACAGACCACTACTCAAGACCAACAAACATTAAAAGCAGGTATTTTGTAATGGAACAGCCGGACATTTCCAGCTGCATTTGTTGCGACTAAACCAGGTATTTTTCAAAACTTAGGGACAATTTCAGCTGTCTTTGGTTAGAAACACCTGTTTTTTTAATTTTTATTTTTTGCTACAGACATCAGAGAATTTCCAATAGCATTTGTGGCAACAGACAGAACTATGTATTTTTAAGTGGACATTTGGATATTTTTAGTTGTATTTGTGACAGCAAAACCAGGTATTTTTACCCAGACATAGGGGGAACTTTCAACCGTGTTTGTGGTAACAAAACCAGGTATTTCTAAAGAGACATAGGGACATTTCCAACTGTATTTGTGGCAATAAAACCAGGTATTTTTAACAAGACATTGGGATATTTCCAGTGTTTGTCGAGACAAAACCAAGTATTTTCTTAACAAGACATCAGCGCATTTCCAGCCATGTTTGTGGCAACAAAACCGGGTATTTTTAACAAGATGTAGGGATATTTCCAGCTGTGTTTGTGGTGACAAAACCAGGTGTATTTAATGAGACATCGGGACATTTCCAACCCTGTTTGCTTCAACAAAACCAGGTATTTTAACATGATGTAAGGACATTTCCAGCTATGTTTGTGGCGGCAAAATAAGGTATTTTCAATGAGATGTAGGGACATTTCCAGCTGTGTTTGTGGGGACAAAACCAGGAATTTCTAATGAGACATAGGGACGTTTCCAGCCATGGTTGTGGTGACAGAACCGGGTGTTTTTAACAAGACGTAGGGACATTTCCAGCCGTGTTTGCCGCAACAAAACCAGGTATTCTTCAGACATTGGAACATTTTCAACCACGCTGGTGGTGACAAAACCAGGTATTTCTAATGAGATGTAGGAACATTTCCAGCCATGTTTCTGCTGACAAAACCAGGTATTTTCTTTACAAGATATGAGGGCATTTCCATCTGTGTTTCTGGTGACAAAACCAGGTGTTTTAAGCCAAAAAGATTTTTTTCTCCTAACCCTAACCAAGTGGTTTTTGTGCCTAAACATAACCACATGTTAACCACAATGTTGTCACAACATGAAATTTAAAGTTAAAATGTAATTAAATGTAAAATTTCAACATACCCACAATATACGGAACAATCAAATTTAACACATGAAACATACAAATTTGACATACAAAACGTACATCTGTGGTTTGCAGAAATGTACAATGCCAACATGTTTTCAGGCAGTTGGGTTGTTACTGTGGTTGCCTTGGTGGCCTTAAGGGGTTTAAAGTGTTGACCATGAGCTGCAACATCCCTGGTTCGAACTCAGTGGGGGACTGTTGTTGCATGTTCCTCGATCTCAAATTCAAATAAGCTGTATAAGCACATTCGCCAGATTTTACATAATTTCCATCTCTCTGACTCTCTCTCTGTTCATCTCTCTACTTTAAACTCTTTAATAAAAGGCATAAAATGCAAAAAAGGAAAAAAAAATCATTTAAAATGTGGTAATCTGTGTTTACTGTGACTGGATGTCCTTGTCTCATGTAAACAGTGTTCAACTTGATTTAATTGTGGTAAACCATCGCAGCCATTGCAGCCTAAAATAAACAAAGAGAAATATGTTCATATGGGACCAAACTTTCCTTTTTACTTGTTTGACTGGAAATGAAGCATAAAACCACCAGCAGCGCTCGTTTCTTACTGCTCAACAGTGAGCCCACATTTCCACTATTTAGCCTCAGTCATGGGCTCCTTTCACAGAGTGGCATTTACAATGAATCATTTAATGTGCTACAGTAATTTGGAAACTTCATATGATGCTTACTTGACTTTGGTTGTTATAATTTAGAGGGAATATCTGCAGCAGGGTGGCAGATTGAGGATGGGGTTTCAGGCCTGTGTGTGCCCTCACTGAAGCATTGCAATAATTAGTCCATTATTATTATTGGATGAGCATGCGGGGATGCAATACTGATCCTGAGCCACCAGTGGGCAGATTGAAACAATTTTTGGCATCCATGGGTGAGCCTGCAATTAAAGATGTAAAGTTAAAGACATGCAAGTTTTCATGGTGATTAGCCTGTCAGAATGCAGATTGACCAGAGGCTACACACCTGGTCTGTAAGGGCCTAATTACAAGCCAAGATTTAAAATCAGCAGCTGTGCAGACACTAAAGGAGCACAGTTTCACACCTTGGGGTGTTTTACGACTTGAGAGATGCTCAACAGAGACGACAAGAGAGAAACAATACCTGCTTGCACATTTAGTTTATTAGAAAAGGTTATAATGGTTTAAAGGTCTCTGACACATGCAACATTTGAGTTTTCTATGAAGTAAAAGTGTGAGTTAAGATTTTAAAGTCTATTTCATTACTTAGAGTCTAAACCTATTCATTGTAAATCATGGAAGTGGGGATTTTTAAACTACCCTGCTCGGCAAGTAAGAGTCTATTTCCCTGCTGGCTGCTGTGATAACGTTCCATGTGCTGCCTGTGAAAGGCTGATCTGATTTCTGCAGATGGAGCAGCAAAGTCAGGCCCAGCGTCCTGTAACAGGTTCCAGATTTTGTCATGGTCACACAAGGTCCAAATCTAATGCTCCGTGATTTCAGGGGTAAGCGCATATTGGTTCAATGTGTGACGTCTGCCCTCTGCAGAATTACTTCAGGGGCCAACACAGAAGACAGATCCCCTGCACTTCAGCGAGGCGTCGAGAGACTTGCACTCACTAAAAATTTGATATCAAGCTCAAAATGTATGCAGGTAACCAGTTCCTCTCAGGTCAGGAATACTGCTGAACCAGTTCAAAGACAAAAAGCCCCCTTTAATGAGATCAAATGTTATATTGTCAAATCATTTATTATTTGGTTTATAGA